ATCTTCATTATCCTTGTATTATTATGGGTCAAACTATCCAATGTAGTAATGAATATTGGTGACCTTGAGGCTTGCCTCCACCAAATATGTGTTCAAATCCAATGAATTAAAAAAAAGTATGTAAACTTTTACAACCCCTGCCCCACGAAAAAGGTAGAGAAAAAGGAAGGATAAATTTTGGTTCATTATTAAGGTCGGAGGCTTTAGTTTTTTATTTAATCCCATCTTGCTTCCAGAATTTTATTGTTGTTGAATTTGATTTGTGATATTTTCATACCTGGTCCTCAGAAATCTGCTGCCAAGCCTCTGCAAGCACCCCAGAATTTTTCATCCTCAACACCATATGTAGGCTCTGGTGCACCATCTTCAATGTATCTCGGTGTGCCACCTTATGGTTCTTCCCTCTTCAACGGGTCATCGATTCCTCCATATGATGTTCCATTTTCAGGAGGCTCAGCCTATCATTATAACTATGGTACCCGGCTTTCTGCTGGCAGTCCATATCGACCACTGCATTTGTCTGGACCACCCCCTTATTCTGGTGGATCCATGATGGGTAATGGTATGTTTCACTTCTCTTTTCCGAATTTGATAATGCTAATTTCCATGATTATTTCAATTTCATTAGTCTTGTGTACGTGCGTGAAGCAGCCACAATTTTAGCATCATTATTTTTTTTCCTTGTTTTTTCATCTTTGTTATGCCTCTGTTAATTTTTAAATTTCATAAATTGGTCCCATGAGTTTTAAAAAGGTATCGATTAACACCTTAATTGAGTTTTGATTTGTCCATTGAGAAAATGGCATTGGGGAAGAGCATATTGTTTGATGAATAACTAAAACACAACTAACAAAAAATTGATCTGTCAAAATTAACAGAAAAATGTGATTATGTTGTGACTTTAAAACATTTACAGTGTGCATTGATTTAATTAAAAAATCAGCTATTTGATACAATGATGGAAATACAAGGAGGTTTCTATAAGAATGACCTTTTTATCAATGCACATATATATCTTTTTGATATTATCCAACTTGTTTTCTTTGAGCCAGTGCGTGTGGAACTACATATCCAGTGTTTTCGCTAACGAAACAGTAATTTTTCAGTACCAGGTGGAATGTATGGCATGCCTCCATTAATGGACCGGTACGGTTTGGCTTTGCCCATGAGCCCTGCTGCTGCTATGGTATGTACTGAAATCCATTTCTTTGGAATGGTTGCTCTTTTGTAGGATTGAGAATCTGAGTGAAATTTTCTGCATGTAATGACTGATAGTGTGAATAAGATTTTCTACATGTGGCAATTTGCCCCTAAGGAAGCATCACTCTGTGTTCTCTTTTTGCTTTTTCTTTTTTTTTTTTTTGGGGGGGGGGGAGGGAACTATTTTTGGTGACCT